GTCCCAAAGTGCTGCATCTACATGTTTTTTGAACACCTCCAGGATGGTGACTCCACCCCCTCCCTGGGCAGCCTGTTCCAATGTTTGACCATTCTCTCAGTAAAGAAATTTTTCCCAATATCCAATCTAAACCTCCCCTGGCGCAACTTGAGGCCGTTTCCTCTCATCCTAAAGTCAAAGGGATCTCCTGGGATCTCATCACCACCCCCCTCTGTCCCGTCTATTGGGGTGTCTTAGGCTTTATTTTACTTCTAGAGTTGCATGAGAAGTGGCACTTCACATTCAGGTGAACAGAGTTGCCAGTTCACCTTAATTAAGCTGAAGTCATTTGCATTCACTCATGGCTGGTGAGTTGCTGGTATCTTTCCTTAGGCTAAACAGAAAATATCGAGTCTGGGCCTTCACTCCCAAATAAAAAGAAATTCAAATATTTAATTCCTGCTTAAGTCCAAGCCCCTACCCTGCTTATCTGTGCTAGGTAGCATTTCCAGGGTGTGATTCACCTAAGCCGTTTTAGATAGCCACCTTAGGAGAAGAAGAGACACTCTAACTGCCTTTTTCTTTCTGCTGACTAGAAAAGTCAGATGCAGATCTCCACGTTGTACTGTTGGAAATGATGGGGGAGGATTTCAAGTCAGGACAATACACACAGTGGTATTTGAACTTCGATTCCTCATAAACAGTTATGTTTGTGGGTTATTCAGGTGACCAGAGAAGACACAACACAGGAGAACCTACGTTATCTCTTGTCAGCCACGGATACTCTCACTTTCTCAGTACCCGGATAATAAGATTCCACCTCCTTAAAGAGCTGGGCAGAGTTCAATGTGATTTTGAAATGAAGCACTCTGCCAAAGCACACACACAATCCAGCATTGTATACCTGGGCCACAGGAACTTGTATCTTTACATCACCAGTGCCTGTATCAGCAGCCTCAAATAAGCAGCACATATATATAAATATATATAGCGCCTTAGGACCAAATCTGCTTGCTCATCTCACATGTGCAGCTCTTTGGGGGTTACTCACCTGTGAACAAGTTTGGGACTACAATGTGGATACAGTGTAAAATCTATGCTGAGTACATACTGGGTTTTTTATACACATTTCAGCCTGTTTCATTTATTCATACAATCTTACATAGCACCTGCCACAAGGGAGTAGGCAGCTAAGAAGCATTCAAAGACTGAGCTCCACCTTTGTTAGTGTTATTTTCCCTGTAGAAGAGACGAGGAACTGAGGCACAGAGCAAAGGCATGACAAGGACAAACAGGGAATCTGTGGCAGAGCTTGGCACAGATCCCAGTTCTTCTCATTCACAGTTAACAGCCTAACACAGGCCAGCCCTTCCTCTGAGGCAGCAGATCCCAGAGTATTAGTCATGACCTAGACAAGCAGGGTTGCGAACCCAACAGGATTTCAATTGCAGAAGCGTGATCACAAGCTGACAAATAGGGTGCCCCGTCAAAAAGTTTGGGAACAGCTATTTTTGTGGCTTGTTTATATGACAAAGCTTTTAAAACTTCTAACTCTGTATCTTGAACAGACACTCTTGTACCGCAATAATATTATACAATTATATTTAGAGACTGGTACTGTGTTGTCTTAGCTTTTCTTCGGTTTTTTTAGCATCTGCAATGCTTGGAGGAAATGCAAGGCATTTTTAATCCTGGGTTAATTGGATTCCTGTATCAAAACATACGCAACTGGCGTTCAAAATGTATGCACTGCAAACTAGTGAAAAATCCCTGAAAATGAAAAAATAACTTCCTCTGGCTTTAAGCATGCTTCCAGCTCTCACCAGTGACCTTGATACGGATGGTAAGCAACCTTAGGACAGACATTTGTGGTATTTATTACAGCACAATGAACAATGGAAAATAATTGCCCCCAAATATTTTTTGAATTTTGATTTGATAATATTAGTGACCCCTATTCTATTTACTTTCAATGAACATTTGAGTGGTTGTGTTTTACAAGTGCAAATACTTGTGAAAATCTACTTTTAAGCTTCAGTGGTCACTGAAAGCCAGTTTCAAAGCCAGCCAGGAACAGAATGATGTGACTTACATAACTAACTGACACATCACAAACTAGGACGATTCACAAATGCTTGTCAGACAAAGAATTACTCACTGGAGAAATGAACAAGTCATTTCAACACACAAATACTACGAAGAATTTTACAGCTTGGTCAAGAACAAGAGGAAGATTTAATCAGTGATAAAATGATCATTAATCAGTCATCAGCCTAATTTCCTTGAGTCTCAATGTTCAGGCCCTGAGCCTGTGAAGAGTTATGCGTGTGATATCCTGCAGGTTGAGGAGTTCTTTAGAGTCTGAAGTTACTCAGAGAGCAGAGCTAAGCAGGGACACAAATCTTTGTAGAATCCCAGCCTTAGTCAATTCACAGAGACTAATCTCTTCCAGTCTTTAAAGAGCTCTGCAAGTGCAAAACACCTGGGAAACTTCTTCCCCAGCCATGCATGGCACAGGCAGGATGCCAATATCAATTCCCATTATGAACAGAGGTTAGAACGATACATCAACATGCTCTTTGCCGAGCGATCAATGTAGCTGACTGCTCCCTGGGGGGCTGTGCCCTTCATGCTGCTGCACTGCCCATCTACCAGCAAGAAGCGATGGGGCCACGCAGATCAGGGTGCATCTGCCCCTCTCCTTCCCCTCTGCCTAGCTACAGGCTTTCAAACTGCATTTGCTCTGCAAAGCGAATGCCTCACTGCATCTCCAGTCAACCAGTATTGCTCCTGTTGCTTCAAGGGATGAGGTCTTACGTTCTCATCCTGTCTCCCTGCTTACCTAGACAAGCTTAGACCATGCTTTCCAAACCCTTCATATAGGAGGTCATCCTGCAAACATCTCTCCAGTCACTGTGACTGGATGGACTGAGATTTTTCTCCCTGCTCTCTTGATTCCTCACTGCACAGGGGGAATACTGGATTGGATCTTATCCAGGTACCAGCATGGTGATAGAGCCCTCTGAATCATTTTGTGTACTCAGTGAGGCATGGGCTTCTCAAGGACATGTTGTCATCTGTGTGGAAGGGAGTTACTGAATGCACCACTGACTTGGAACGAGGCTCCCCTTTGCTTCCATCTCGTGTAGAGATCATGAGCTGAACGTAACAAGAACCAAACCCATGGTCCAGCTTCTGTTCATACGTGGCTTTTATGAACCACTGTTCCTTAACTTCAGTCCTCTAGAATAATCCCTCTGCTTTGAGAGAGAGTCTCAGCAGAATGCAGTAATCTTGACTTCCCTAAAAAGTCATGCGCTGTTACACAGCTACTGCACTGCTCTTTCTGGGTGGTGCTCGTTTCAGGAGAAGGTGAAGAAATGCCTATTTATAAAGACACGGATTTCCATGGAATCTGCCCATTACGCGTGAGGTGTGTGTAACTCCCTTAGGCTCTTTCGGGAAATTCCAGCCAGAGGGTGTTGGGCACAACAGGGTTGGAAAGTGCTACAAAGATTCTATTTTGCAACAGTAGAGGATGTAAAGTTGAGAGAACATGCAGCTCTCAAGACTGATTGCCACGGAAACATGGGTAGCACTAGGGTTTTCAATGTGTGACTCTGAAGGTCTCTGCCTTTCGTATTGCCTGGGGACTGATGTCGTCTCAGGTCAGCAGAATGGCAAAAGGAGGGCAGCACAATGCCAGAGCTCTGCACCAAAGGGCCTGTTATTCCAGTTGCTCTGTGTCACCTTCTGACCTTATGTTGACATTTTGCAGCTGTCTGTGGAAGGGAATTTCTCCTAGGGGAAGAATCATGTGAGGTTCTCTATGCTGGTTCAGAATTTTCCATTAATTTTAGTTATGTATGCAGCGGCACGCAGAGCAGAAGACAAGAAACACAGGACACCCTGCTCACCCGTACACAGAGTAACAGAGAGCATCAGGCTAGGAAGCTGAGCAGCATTGACCACCTAAAACTGAAGAATTTGAGATAAAGTCAAGCTGGCCCATCCCTGGTTGCACCTGACATTACATTTTCTTAGTGGTTTGTACAGTGCAATTTAAATAACCCAAGTGATGGGACTATTGCCACTTACACTAGGGCCTCATTAGCATGGGCTTTGCCAAATTCTACGTATTTAGCTCATAACCTTTTCCTCAGGGGTCACACTTTCTGATCTGTAGCAGGTAATGAGATGCACAGAATACAATGTTCCTGGCATGAAAAGTGTCAGAGGTACTGTGCCCCTCACTGGGATGCCAGCTTATTCCCTACCGCCCTCACCCCATTATCCTCCTCGCCTTCTGCATTGTACTCAGACCTGCACTGACCTTTTTGATTCTGAAAAGCAATGAAAATGCTTGCAGTTTTAAGAGATGTATAATAAGCTAAAGAAGTTAGACTGGGACTCTGAAATGCTCGGTCCTCAGCTCTGCAAAGACTTCTTTCATGACCTTGCATAAATCATTTAATCTCTCTGTGTCAAACCTCTCTGGTTGTGACCAAGGAATATTATCCTGGTCTTCTCTAGTTAGACAAGGATGCTTGCAACACAGGTTATGTCTCCCACAGGACAGGAGAGCTTCCTGGGATGGGTCACGATGAGCTATTACAATCCAATAATACTCCTTGGTTAATTGTGTATACTTTGGAATGTGGGAGGCTAGATTTTTATCAATTGTATATTTACACAGAGCTAAAATGCAAAATCTAGTGAATTCACCAGCATGGCCCTGATGGCCTCAGGTTGCAGATCTCAATTTTTCAAAAAGAGCTCTTGGAAACGAATGGAAGCAGGATCTGGCAGAAATGCGTATGTGTGAGAGAGAAAGAGAGAGAAGGATGTGGATTTAACTTACTGTAGATGGGGCTCCTTGCAGGAGCTGAAGTCAGGCAAGGAGAGACATGCTGGGGTCTCCTTCGGTTCACAAGTCCAGCAAAGGAACTAAGGACCAAGCCTGGAGATGGGGTGCCAGGGCAGCAGGTAATGGGAAGGAGACCCTCACACCTTCTACTTACCAATTCTGTCCAGCCTGTCAAGAGCCACTGTTTCAAAAGCTCGCCGCATCATGGGATACTCTTCCAGCACCTCGTTGAAGTTGTCCACTGAGAGAGAGTAGAGCCGGCAGTAGGTATCAGCTCGCACGCTGGCTGTGCGCCGGCCACGGGTCAGCAGACAAATTTCTGGAATGAAAGACCCAGCCTGAGAACATGGGGAGACACCATCACCCCTGCGATACAAGAATTGGTTCTGTCACTCGCGGGCAGTCCTGCCTTCTTCCCAGTCTCCTCTCTAGCTGGACCCAACCTGCTTTCCCACTGAAAACGTGAATAGTGGTAATAGTCTGTGCATGCGGTAACATTTAAAAGTACTCAGGGGCTCAGTTGTGGCAGCTACGACACACAATTGCACCTCAGGGATTCTGCTGATCTACTTAGCTGGTCAAGTTTTGTTATGGCGGATTGTCAAAGGTATCACTTGTGCGTTCAGAGTGGAGAAGCTGTCTTTCTCCAGCTTCTCATGGGCACTGGGAGCAGAAAGTCAAGCTGTGCTCTCGTTGAAGCTAATTGCCTCTGTAAATTTGTAGTAAAGGCTCTGTGCTGACCTGGAGCCTTGGTGCCTGGTAGTAATTTTGATCTCCATACCCAGAACATGTGTCTTTTCAAAGTTTTCCAAGTTTTTTGTAGATGTGCCACAAGCTTACAGATTGTCAGGGAAAGCCAAGTTAGTGACACCTACTAACTCTTGGTGTATTTACACTGCAGTCAGCTACTCCTAGGAGGATGCTCAGCTGGTTACAGAACAGAAAGCCCTTGACTCTACCATAAATGCCTCACTTGGGCACAGATGCTCCTTGAATACTCAACAGAGAGCTCCTGAGTCCTGCTTTTCCACTGATTACACACGGAGTATGGGCAGCTAAGACAGGCACGTACAAGACAGATGGTGTGACCTAAAGACTGACAGCACTCTTCTCTGTGCAGTATGTTGGGTATCAATCCACCAGCATCGCTCTCAAGATTCACTCTGGGTCTACCCTAAAGCACTGGTACAGCAGCACTACAAGGTTGTAAGTGTATTATTTAGGCTGCTTTCCTAAGGAAGTGATGCTTATGAGATCGTGCCAGCTTTGAATGTGTGTGAGGAGTTGCGTGCGTGATATCTAAAACATATTGAATGTCATGGGCAATTTCAACCAAGTCTGTCAGGAAATCCTGACTCCACATTGTAACTCCAAATCCCAGCAAACTGACCCAACTTACTAGGGACATGCAAAATCCTTGTACTCCAGGTAGGTGCAGACAGATTGTTTCACAGGAATGAAGAGTGTAAGAAGAGTGTAGGAAATGCATGATAGAGATGTTTTAGTAGAGAACAGGCCTTACAGACGGGAAGGAAAGGCAGGTTTCATTCTGGCCCCTCTCAGTAGGCCATTAATTGTGGTGCATTCAGTGCTTGTACATGCATCCACCAGAGAACTATCTATCTTGGGCTGTCAGTGAGGTCTCTACGGGGCTCTGATAGGAGGGGGTGTCTCTGTGTTACTCATAAGAGCAATATCCTAAATCTTCTCTTACACTCTTTTCTGACCTCATGCTACTTTCACTGTTTCAGACTGCTGCTGCTGATACATTAGCCTGCCTGCTGACCTTCACGACATTTTGCTGAGCCACAGGCTGGGGAGATGATGGACTATGCTTTTTCCTCCGTGTTTATACAGCACCTCGTATGATAAATGCCAGACTGTAGGACTAGGCAACACTATAAATGTGCTTGGAGAATTGAGAACGCTCCATTTTTTTCCGTTAGGTTCTCAGGCTTCACAGATCTGTCGGTTTGCTTGGGGCAAAAAGAAATGAACCTACAAGAACTAAGCTTCCCTTCTCCGTTTTGTTATTATTTATTATCTAGGCTCCTGCACTGCCCATGAGTCCCAGTCACCTCCCACTACACAATTTACTGCACGGGAAGCTGCAAGACAGATGAGATGAACAGAGACAGAGGAAGGAGGAGGAGGAGGTGCCTGGGGTATCAGTTCCACATACTGCCATCCCTGTGCGTCCAGGACAAGTTAAGGAGCATATCGGCAATAGCAGTGGGTATCGCTATGTAAAGGTGACTGATCAACACGCACCTCCAAAGTAGGAGCCATCTGCCAGCTTGGTCTCCTTGTTGCCTTTAGTGAGGACGCTCACCACCCCGTGCTGGATGAAGTACATCTTCTTGCCGATGGTGCCCTCCCGGATGATGTAATCCCCTGGCTGAAACACCTCAAACCGCAACTTGGTCAACATGGATGTCACAAAGTTGGGATCTGCGTTGGCAAAGAGGGGCATGGAGGCTACCAGCTTCCGGCAGTTGAAGTTTATGATTTCCTGACCACAATGCGATGTAAAAGAGAGAAAGAGAAAGAGAAAAGGAGGGGAGAATAAAATGGGACAGGGAGCAGAAAAGACACACACATATGTTTAGTCAGCATCTAATAACCTATGAAGAACCCCCACTTGACTTGTACAGTAGAAAGTGGGGGAAAAAAAGTGCTGTTCCCTTAGTCTGGCTCTCCCGATGCAGGCTGCAGGCTGGAAGAGCATGTAGCAGTGCGCGCTGAAGCTGACAGCTTGACACCATGCTTCACTGCTTTCATTCATACGCTCTCTTTGAGCAGGGGCAACACCTCCCAACCTCCCAAATACGCAATACGCTTCTTTCTGCAGGAAACCCTGGACTGTGAGAGAGATGCATAGCCCTGGTGAAATGCTTTATGAAAAAGCCCAGGGCTCCTCTCTGGGAAAATGTTATAACTCACTTCGGCAGCCCTACGTTCGCCGTTGCCCTTGCTTGTCAATGAGATATTAAACAGCACCAATGTGCCAAGGTGCTCAGAGAAAGAATTGTCCTGGGCAGATGGGGACAGCGTCAAGAAAGGGGAGGGAGAGGTGCCCACCAGTCACTGGGGCATGGGCTGGATCATCAACCTCAGATGCAGAAAGTCCCAATTCAGCTGTTCAGCTGCCATACAGCAGACAGGGACTGCACCCCCTCCTGTAGCTTGGTGTCACTCCGAGGGTATGACAGCACTTTCCACTGCACAGGAGCTGCTCTGTGCCATGTCAGCTCAGACTCAGAAAGTGGCAGAAAGTGATATTGAGTATCTAACCCCTCTCCTCAAGCAGGGAAGGAGCGTCTGGATGACAGCAACAGGAAGAAAGAGGGCTGGGGAAGCATTTGTCTCTGCCTCACTGGGGTTCTTTTCAGGGTTGCCCTTTGAGGCTTTGGCAGAACTAGTTTTAAATTATGGCTGGTACATCCTCAGCGCTTCCCTCTGCTATGGAGGTACAATACTGGGGCAAGGAAGACAGAAGGAAGACTGCTTCTAGTGCTTGCGGGTAACATACCAGAGGCATATACTAGGGAGAACCTGCATTGCCAGGCTTCAGCTAGGGAAGGGCGTTTTCTGTAAAGACTCCTTTGAAGTGGGGCCTTGCTAGAAGGCTCCTCCTTCCTTTGACTCTACATGCTGCTACAGATGAGGCCAGTGCATCACATAGAGGTTTACATAAATACGTGAGATAGATACAGCTTAATATTAGGGAGCACGAGGTGAGAGCTTACTGAGACACCATGCCAAGCAGGGGTGCTTGTTTGTGTGGGGAGGGAAGCGGGCTTGCAGAGGTGTGCTGTCCTGCAGGGGCTCTTTGGGAAAGGGGATGACATTGCCAGACGTTACCACAGCCTCAAAAGGTGCAAGATGCACCTATTCACACGCTGAGTGGGTGGCAGGGCCTGCATATTGCAGCCCCCATCACCTTTATGTCAGACATCATTTGTGCTGCAGCAATTAACAGACTCAGGCAGGAGTTCTGCAAATGCCAAAGGCCTGGGTTTCTCTCTCTGGCCTCCCACCACTCCCATCACCTGATGGTGTCCACTGCAAAGCACTGGGACAGGACACTGCACACCAGGAACTCCACAGTTGCCAAAGATGACAGGAACACGCATTGCCCATTCACCGCCCCCTCCTTACCTCTCGGAGGGGCTCACTCAGCTCTCCCAAGATGCTCTCCTCATCAAACATCTTCCCCTGGTAGCGGTGCTCATAGTAATCGTGGATGCGCTGCCGCATGTCTGCAGGGAGCTTGTGGAAGGACATATACTGTTCCACTTGTTTGTACTGCGCAGGGGAGAGAGGAAGAGAAGGAGTTACCAGGACAGGCAACAAACTGCACGTGGAGGCAGCAGTGACGTGCTAGGGCATACCCATACCTGCTTCCTTCACGCCAAGCCTGGCCCAGGCAGAATAAATCTGGTGCAACTGTCTGAACACATGGAGAGTTTGCAGGCATCTCTGTTATATTCCTCAAATGGCTGCCCCATGCTTTAACCTTTAAACTTATTCTCAGCCAGTTACACTATGGAGACAACTCCTCATTCCCTGGGTGCCGAGCAGCCCAGGTGCCTGTTGTCTCCTACAGAACCAGCAAAAGCTGGGAGCAGAGATGACTAAGAAGTGCTCAGCTGGGAATCTCCTCTCAGCAAACACTGCTGAGCAAAGACTGTCCAAACCCTGTGCAGAATGAGAGCAAGGAAAATACAATGTGCCCTCAATACGTTTTTCCACAGCACACAGTAGAATGGTGGCCAGGGTGTATGACCTGGCTCTAGCTTCGCCCTAGACCAGTAGGTGATGTGCAGCACCTCGAGGCCTCACCAAGCATGGAAACTCACTCTACTGGGGCCACACAAAACAGCAGAACACAGTTCTGCCTTGGATGTTCATAGTCACAGACAAACTGAAGGACACATACAGACATTATCTGAGTTATTCGGTTGAAGCTGTGGTACCCATGGCCTGCTTTTCCTCTCCTCTGTGTTCTTGTCTGCCTCGCTGTCGCAGCACCTTTGCTTTCCCACCTAGAGCTGCACAGGTCCCGATTTTCTTCACCTTTTGCTGGGTCTCTATTGCCCCATGCACTTGTGCTCTCTCACCTGGCCGTATCTTTACCTAATGATTTGCACTTCCATCATGTCACTTAGAGGGGAACAGAAGGGTACCCTCTGACGGATGCCAGAGCAGTATTTGGGGATGAATGGTGCTTTCTATGAATAATTGACACTTCCTCAAGGGCACGGGACTGTAAATGGGTCCACTTGCCTTGAAGGTGCTGCAGGGACAAGGTGTGTGCATTGCAGTGGTCATGCTCCCTCCCACCGGCACGCAGTACAGAATATGATCCTGAGCGCATACCGTACTAAATAATGCTGACAAAAGGACCATGCTCCCCCATTGCCGTCCCTCTTTCCTCTCTTCTCCCCGATAAATCTGTCCCTGAATGTCCCTTTACTGCAGCTTGTGCTGAAGAGCCTAATTACCTAACTTCTGCTCATTACAGACCTCCCCTGCACACACCAGTGTCACTCTGCTCTCAGTACAGTCTGTGCTGGCACTGCCTTGCATGCTAACAACTTGATCTGCACCAGAGAGGAGAAGGAATTACTCTAAGAAGCCAAGGTGGCAGAGGGGATACTCGGGGTTTCCTGGCGTTTCCAGAGCCTTTTGTCTGTAGCTAGCTGCAGAGGAGCTGGCTGTAAATATTCATGATCACTACAGTATGATCAAAGTCAAGCGAGTCACCACCTCCTCACAGGGAGCCGGGCAGAGAATTGGCAACGAACGCTGCGCTTTATTATTTGAATTGCTGAAGTTCTGTAGAGACGGGCAGGACGCTGTGTCAGGTGGTGCTATGCTGGGTCCTGCACAGAGTCTGCAGCTCGCGGATGAGGGAGATAAAGGGAGCAGAGATCAACATCTCTGATGTGGCCAACTCACTGGTCTGAGCCCATCCAGAATTCTGCAGGTTACGCTCTTAAATGCAGAAAGCTTAAGGGCTTGGCTCAGACGCCTAAACATAGATGTCTACTGCCACTGGTGATGCACTGCAGCATTTGAGACACCCATGGGAACTTGCAAGTCGGACACAGGACATGCAGGACACTCGTTATGGAAAGGGAATTAGCTTTTGCTGACTTGGGTTTATTAAATGTATCCTAAATCCACAGAGTGTTCTGCTTTTTTTGATGCTGCATTTTTGTTATTTGCCAAAAATATCACCTTACACTCTCAGTTTTAGCCATTGAATTGGACCATTGACCAGTGTCACAAGATGCCTCTCATTACCTGCTGCCAGCTACCTGCCCGCTACCCCTCTTCTCTCCACCATATGCACTTGATATCAATCTTTAACTGACCTTTGCTTCTCCGTAAAAATACTCCCAGATTCTCAGATTCAGAAGCACAGGTTGGACAGGGCAACTCAGACTCTTTGCTCATTCACTGCTGTACATGGATTTATGGCTTTGTAACAAAGAGCAATAAATTATTGCTCTGCAAAGTCCCTAGGGCTTGTCAGATTCTCCTACAATCACTCTCCCTAGATAAGGCTCAGAGTGAAAACAGGACAAACTTACTTCACCAGAAAAAAAGGTTCTGCTTCCGATCACAAATTAAAAACATGGTTATAAAAGAAAATTGTAAAATAAGAAGCCGTAATTCTCTGTCATAGTTAACAAGAGGTACACATCTTGGCTCTCCTGTCTTTGGTAGTGCTACTTCCTCTCACCCATGCCAGCTGGAGAGTTTTTGTGGGCTCTGAACTCTCCCTTGTGCAGAGATGAAGTCTGCAGAGGTACTCAGAAATGAAAGCACCAGCCCCTTCTCCCTCTGGTTGATAAATTGAAGATTTATGTGCGGTTTTCCCCCTTTCCTTGGAGCTGCTCAGCCAGGCTGAAGGCCACCACTCTTGCAGTGTCAAGCATCAATAGCGACTAACCAAAAGGCCACTAAAAAACTGCACGAGGGAGGGTCTTTCAAAGTGTAGCAGGGTGTAAATGTCTCTTCTCAGTTCTAAGCTCTAAACGAGATCACTCCTGAGGTCACCAGCAACACTCCGTGATGGGACAAAGCAAAGGGGCAAGGGTGATCGTGTGGTGAACATCAACAGCAGAGTGCATGGCGATTAAAGACTTTGCCTGATAACCCTGAATTTACAGGTCTCCCTTTTTTTAACTGAGGCTCTGATACCATGCAGATCTGGCACTCTCTAAAGCCACTTCATGCCCCCTTGAGTTGGCACCCCTTTGAGTGCCTTTCAGATGTGGCCAGGCCTAACCCGACAGCCCCCTTTTTGCCTCCTTTCTCCCTTGTACTTGTCTGTTCAGTCTTCCTACTTGTGTCCATGGCCTCAGTCTGACCCGTGCTCAGAGGAATGTGCAGAGATTAGTGGCTTCTCTGAGTTCAACTAAAAAGGGCTCGTTTAGGAATTATTTAAATCTCTTTGAAGACAATCGAGTCCATTTAAATCCTAACTCATTTTCTTAAGTCTGTTTTTCCTCAAATAAGCCCTTGAAGGAAGTATTAATATATCAAAAGGGAACCATTTAGCTGAGCATTTTTCCTTCTATAACTAGCCAGTTTCCATAGTTGTCTCACCACTGCCCTCCCCTCCTATCAAAGCTCAGATCATTCACAGTCCTAAGGGAACTAAATATTTTTAACTCCTTCCATGCCCTCAATCTCTATCATCAATCCTCTTCCCTCTGGCAGTAATAAATCACTGGCTGAAAAGGCTGGACTAGTGTATTGCATTACTTCTGAATATAAAAAAGACCCTGCATCTGAGAAGAGCTGCTCCCATCCCAGTCCTGGCACTGACATCTCTCTTAGTCCCCCTTTAGTCCATACACATCACTCTTCAGAGCAACGTTGATTTTTTGCATCTCAGTTAATTCAAACACACTAACACACTTTCACAGCATGCCTGCCGACCTGGGCAGGCACACATAACCTACAGTAATGAAAACACTTGGGATGCTTGTTCTCCCTCTACCCAAAGACAAATATACAGAGCTGTGCTGCTTGCATCCTTCCAGAAACAGGCTGAAAACACTGTGGAACTGTCCTGGTTTCAGTCAGGGTAGAGTTAATTTTCTTCATAGAAGCTAGCGTGAGGCTATGTTTTGGATTTGGGATGAGAAAATGTTGATAAGGTGCTGATGTTTTGAGTTGTTGCTGAGCAGTCAAGGACAGTCCAGCTTCTCATGCTGGCCTGCAGCGAGCAGGCTGGGGGTGCACGGGAAGCTGGGAGGGGACACAGCTGGGACAGCTGACCCAGGCTGGCCAAAGGGATATTCCATACCATATAACGTCATGCTCCGTATATAAAGCTGGGACGAAGAAGAAGGAAGGTGTGGAGGGACGTTTGGAGTTACGGCGTCTGTCTTCCCAAGAAACCATTACGCGTGATGGAGCCCTGCTTCCCTGGAGATGGCTGAACACCTGCCTGCCCATGGGGAGTAGTGAACAAATTCCTTGTTTTGCTTTGCTTGCGTGCGCGGCTTTTGCTTTACCCATTAAACTGTCTTTATCTCAAACCATGAGTTTCCTCACTTTTACTCTGAGTTTCCTCACTTTTACTCTTCCGATTCTCTCCCCCGTCCCACCATGGAGGAGTGAGCGAGCGGCTGCGTGGGGCTTAGCTGCCAGCTGGGGCTAAACCACGACAGGGACAGAGTTTAATCTCAGTCTCCACATTTGGACTCCATGGAAGTCAACAGAGATGCACTTCTGTAAGAAAAACGAGAATCAAGCAGAGCAATACATTTTCAATTAAGTGAAAAATTATGATGCTCTGACAGTATTTTGAATGCTGGTAGTATATATCCTGTGAGACTGGATTAAGATACACATAAGCAGCCATGATGTACAATGTCGTGGCGCTCTCAAGTGGATTAATACTTCATAGGGGTAAAGATCAAGTCATGAGATTCACCAGATGGGGTGTCTTGATGAGACACAGTTCTATCTTTGTTTTATTTTCTCTGACCTATGATTAGGAGTAAAACACTGCAGCTCCCGAGCGTTTAGTATTCATCGAAACCAAATAAATGCTGAATTCCTTTTTTTTTTTTGTGTCTTTTAAGCCATTCATATTCCCATCCTCAAGATTTGTTCTATGACCACATATACATCTTACTCAAAATGATCAAGACACATTCTGATGGAGTCAAATGACTCCAGGAGTGAGTGGGTTAAGGGAAGAAAAGTGAAATTTTTGTAACACGATAAAGTCATGCCGACACTGCTGGTGCAATCTTTGTTGGTTTCCCTTTGAAGAG